AAAGAACCAAGCGTGGAATATTGTTCTTCTTGTCTCCTCTGTTGGCTTATACTGGTTGCCGTGTCTGTCACTTATTTGGAGAGGGCGATTTCTTTGTAGATGTAACCCGGGTTCTTTGCGAGCAAGAGCTTCTTATAGAGAAAGTGAAAGTGTCTACCACCCCGGATGGGAGAGTGATGGACCTGTTTTTCATCGTTGACCCCAGGTTCAACATCAAGCTTTCTTTTTCTGTAATGTGTAAATTGTGTAGTTCCCAATGATTAAATTCAGTTTGACACATATGGAATTGCTTGATGGCTTCATGAGGGCTAGAGTAGTATAACCTGCACAATTAGTTCGAGTAGGTCAATTTGTGTCCAATATGCTATTTGCAAGGTAAAAGAAAGTGGAGGGCTTGGTAATCCTAGTAGTATGGCTTGTCAGTGGTGTTCGCAGGGTGTTCCTTAATTGTAGGTGACATTGTAGTCACAAATCTTGTATGGCAAACTCTTCTTGATTGAGCTTTCCTCTTCACCTATTCTCTATCTCCATTTTTTCCTTTACCTGTGAGCGGTTGGGTGGAAGGTGTTGGGTTTGAAAGTTTTGGGATGGTGGCATCATTTTCATTGTAGCAGAATAAGGGACCCGTAAAAGTTGATTGTACAATGAAGACTTTGAAGAGAGAAGCCCCAACTCATGTTAGACATGAATCTATATATATATAATTTCTACAAACTAATGTCTGCCTTTCCTTTCTCCTTGTTTCAGAAAACATATTTTCATTTTTGTGTTTCCATTAGGGAGCTTATGCACACTACAAAGAGACAGCGGGACACATGTGACCACTTGAAATATGTCATGGGGGATGCAATGATAAGTTGTGAAATAGAAATGGTTGGCCCTGAAGTTATGGTATGCTCACAGGCATCTTCTCTTCTTCCATCTGAAATAGCGGAAGAATCGTGTAGCTTGGAGTTGAATGAAAATCCACCAAGCAGATCATTAGCTTCTAAAGATGTTTCTGTCACATTAGACAATTCGCTCAGTCCTTCTCACACACTAGTCCAAATTGTTTGTCAAGATCACAAAGGACTTATTTACGACATTATGAGAACTCTCAAGGACTACAACATTCAGGTATAAAATCATTCAGTTCAATGTCTAAGTAATATTGATTTCAAAAGTTATCATTGAATGACCACAGTTATTAGAAACACGGGTACACGATTTTGTTGGGTCTAATTCTTTCCTCTGTTTCGTTTTTTATGATAAGAATTGATTCAAATTCTTTTCTTGCACTGCATATCAGTTCAGGTTCTGTTATCAATATTTAAACTCAATCGTGTAGCCAGATCTCATATGGGCGCTTTAATAAGAAGCAGAGAAGAAACTGTGAGCTTGACTTGTTCATCATGCAAGCTGATGGAAAGAAGATTGTAGACCCAAGCAAGCAGAATGCTTTGTCAACTCGCTTGCAGATGGAACTGATTCGTCCCCTCAGAGTAGCTGTTTTGAGCAAGGGTCCTGACACAGAACTCTTGGTGGCAAACCCCACCGAGTTATCTGGCAAGGGTCGACCTCTTGTGTTTTATGACATCACCCTTGCGCTCAAATTGCTTGACATTGGCATCTTTTTGGTATTTCCCAATCTACTTACAGAAAATGTTTACTTTTTAGATGCCATCCTTGCTATACTTGGTTCCTTCCTTACCCTCATATCATCGTTTAAGTATTTTCACAGCTGCTTGTTATAAATTAGCTCGCTCAAATATGAAGAGGATACCACCTCTATGATACATTCCAGGGTTGTTTAGTTCCATTTAGAATAAGTGGATTCTTTGCTTTCTGATGTACTAAGGTCCCTCTGATTCGAGCTTTAGCTTTTCAAATTGCAATTTTGGCGATTCATCTGGATTACATAATAAGGGTGGTTCCTTGATGAGCAAAATTTTGTTTTTGTTATACATGATGTTAAAGCTTAACTACAACGAGAATGATTTATGCTCTGGATTACATAATGAGAGTGGTTCCTCGATCAGCAAAATTTTGTTTTTGTTATACATGACATTAAAGCTTAACTACAAAGAGAATGGTTTTCCAGGCAGAAATCAGACGCCATGTGATCGGAGACCGAGAATGGGAAGTATACAGAGTCATGCTTGATGATGGAGCTGGGTCTTCAGTTCCAAGGAACAAGATCGAGGACGGAGTCCGAAAGATGTTGATGGGATGGGCGTAACATGAAGATCTAAAGTGGAAAGTACTTCATCTAGCCTATATATATAGCTTGCTCTTCAAGGTTAAAATGGGCTCCTCCTTGTCTTATTGATGCTTGTAACATGTTACCAATGTATTCTGAAGGGACAGAATCGTGTGAATTATTATGTACAGGTTGATATATTCAAGTCTCTTGATATATAACTTGCCTTAGAGTTCTGTTGGTCTCTGACCACTGTGAAAAGAAACATTCTTGAAAAAATGATAGGAATAAGTCGATGCTAATTGCCAAAATTTCCCAAAATGTAGTACTAAAGTTCTAGATTACACAGGTTTTTCATTGATAAATGCATTACTATTATACAAAAGTTCTAGTGCTTGTAGAAATGTTATACAGAAGCTCAAAGAGACTATTTAAACCAACAACCAGCAGGTGAAAGAAGATTAAGGACAGAAATGTGTTGCTTTTCCCATAATTTCTCCTTACAGTTTCCAGTACACTCCCAACTTGTGCAAAATCCCTGCAACTATTGCCCAAAATGCTATCTCAGCAAATATCACATATAAAAGAGTTCCCAGCTTTCTTGAATGCCAAACATTGATGAACACATGCTTCTGAATCCAATGAACCTGAATATATTCATCATCATCCATCATTACTTGACAGAAACTTGATTCTTTTAAAGGACATTTAGAATGATTATGCAGCTATGGAATGTCGAGGAAGAAACGACACTTACTAGGCTGTTCTCGGGATCTTTATAGTACCATCCATTGATAAAAGCTGCAAAGATGCCCTGAGCTGCCATGACAAACACCAGCATTGCATTCATTCCAATCCATTCAAGGAATAAGAATGGCTTTCGGAACCCCCAAACGTCGATCTGTTTCGGTGAAGGAAGGGACAGCAAGGAAACAAACAAAGCATTAGACTGAAATGCTAGAGATTCAGAGGTGAGTGATGGATTTGAAAGATTTGGATTCCATTTTTACCAGAATGTAGAAACCTGAGAAAACTATCCCAGCTGCTCCTGCTGTGAAGCAGACATAGCTAAGACTGTAGAGCTGTTTGTTTATAGGAATGGCTGCAAATTCAGTACAATACTGTCTTTTTATCAGTGATGTTTTGAGATTGTTTGGTAAAAGTTTTAAACTATGTGAGATCATGGAATCAAACCGTTTGTAAAATGAAGGATGATGCCAATGACAAAGCAGCCAAATCCCATTCCCACCCATTGCTTGAGCCGTTGAGAGTGAGCCTGCAAAAAACTTCCTCAAACCTTCAATTTCGTCTCCATATTTAAGACTATGAAGGATCCATTTGACTGAACCGAAGACTTTTCTGTACCTTGAAATGAACCAGAACATGGCCATAATGGATGCCAATGGTGCCAGAAAGAATGGCTGAAACTGAACTGAAACCAACAAAAAGAAACGAAATCAATCAAAGATTTCCAGGTTCCTCTCTGATTTCAAGTCCCAAAGGTGTCACAAACCTCAACAAGCCCTCAGGCTCGAACGGAGCCAGACACCAACTCGGCGCATCGTCTCGAAGAGGGCCATCATCCGGTGAGCTAAACGTGCAATCCTGAATCATTTGTTATGAATTCAATAACCCTTTGGTGAAAAGAAAAAATGATTCAACGTGGCTGTGCAACTTTTTTACTCAGTAATAACCTTGAGGCGGCGCCAAACAGGATAGTTGTAGAGATGGTTAATGCCCCAAACTCGGCGATCGACATGGCCGACGGCATTGCAGGCAGGGCCCAAGTGGCCTCTCACCCCACATACCACCTGAAATCAACTCCAAAGTTTAAGCCACAAGCAAGGAAGAAGATAACACAGAGAGCAACATAAAACAGGGCGAAAATGGCAAAAGGAGGGTTGATTAATAACTGTGTAGTGCTGCAGCTGGTCATTGTCCAGCACTGAGAAACTCCAATCTGGAACGTACAGTGCATAAGTTGTAATTATGTATATAACCATTGCTGCAAATCCTCCGATCCTACAGAAAAAATGTGTATGTAAGAACACAGAGAAACAGAGAAACAGAGAAACAGAGAGATTAACCCCACCATTGCCAGCGATAAGCTGTAAAAATGGAGACATGGCCATGGTCTAGGATTATTCTGGGTCTTCCTATGGTGGTGAAAGCTTCAATCATGGCTACTACAAAGTAAACCAAAGCTATCCTCTGCAAAATCATTACCCATAAATCATATCTTGTTTGAAAATGTGGGAAGATGGCAAAAGCAGAAGAGTTTGTAGGAGCAATACTTGGAGAATGCCACACCATCGAATGTGCTTCATGTCAACACCATATTGGAGTTCATCAGGAGCGTGGGAGTATCCACCCTGCAGAAGAAGCCCCCAAAACAGAAGCTTCAAAGTTCTTGGAGTTATCTTCTTGGCGGCTTGTTTGATATTGGGAACTTTCTGCAACATTTGATCAAATTCTTCATCAGCCAGTGTTGGAATATTAATGTAATTCAATGGGGTCTAAAAATGGAAAATAGATTTGGTTTCCCGACGAGGAGTCAAGTATTTTTTTTTAAAAAAAGTGAACCTTGAGAGCGAGGGCAATGGCGACTCCCACTATGAAGAGGAAAAATGGCATTACGAAGTCGGCCAAGGTGAAGCCGTTCCACGGCGAGTGGTCGATTCGTGAATATGCTCCGCCGGCATCATCTACCAGTACCATTAACTGCACAAAGTACCGACTTTTCAACTATTCAATTGTGATGAAATCGGTAGCCACAATATTTAAGCGTTTATCAGTGAATATTCATCTCGATAAAAATTTGATAAATTTTTTATTTTTCGAAACATAGAAGCTTTATATTTTCTCCATTTCTTTCTCCTACTCATCAAATTTTTTTTTGTTGCGAATGCTAGGCAACTTTCCACCAAGTGTATATGTTTGAATGTTTTTTTTATCTAGTCTTTTATTGCTTAAAGTTTTTACCTTGTTTTTTTATAGTAAATATTAAAGGTGAGTTATGGTAATCATATGTTGTTATTACTATTATTATTTTAGTACAAAAACATATGGAAATGAGGATGTGGACTCGTGACCTTTTGATCGAGATATTTACCATCACCAGTTTCTTTTTTCTTCTATTAAAGTAAAATAAGGGAAATAAATTAACCATAATTAATTGAACTATGCCTAGGCTGACGAAGATAATTGTACGTAAACTTATATATCAATATTAACATATATATCATCGGCCGAGAGGTCGGAGGTTCGAATCTCAATAAGAAAAAAAAGATAGGAGGATTAGAGGGTCGAAAAGAATTTCTAATTTCTCAAAATTTTTTAAGGTATTAAAAATTTTGACTTTTGTTCTTTTTAATAACTCAATTTCTCTTCTAATTTTATGCAATTTATTAAATATTGTGCCATGTAGAAAGTAGAGAGAATTGTGAAATAGTTAGTCTTACCTTAAAAGAATTATATATATATAATTACTAAATTTAAAATTTTCTTTCTAGTTTCCCTCCCTAAGTTGCTAAGATTGAAAAATATTATTATTTAAAAAAATTATGACAATATTTTTAACTTCTCAATAATGGAGAGAACCTTATCCTCCTCCCCACTGAATATTTAACAACTTATTGTTATATAAAAAAATCTCAATTTTTACTTTTCTCTCTTCCCTAATTGTCAAACATTAAATGGTAACGTTTGAGTAGCAAAATATTTTTCATATCTCTGCATGTTGTAAACTTATCCACTTATCTTCAGCAATATTTAACATCCGCGCACCACATAGTATAATTAAAAAAATAAAAATAAAAATACAAGAGATGAAGAAGGAAATTGAAAAAACAAGAATTTAAATTTAAATTTTGTAGTGTTGTTTTTGTTTGAGTTGGTAATTAAGTAATTACCACTATAGTAAGGCCTCTGAAAGCATCCAAGGTGGCGACCCTCTTGGTCTTGGGCGTCGCCGGCGGCTGATCCGCCGTGGGCGCCGCAGCATCCTCTTTACTGCAATCGATTATAACATCCTCATAATCTCTGGTATCGGACTTGACAAATTCTGTGCCACTCAAACTGCTCAACCCTTGTGATTTTTCCATGGAATGATGATAAAATTAGCTTTAAGCTTAATTAAAATCAAACTTCACACTATTCTCTGCCAATGGATCATCATATATATATGTATAATATCATAATTCATAGCATAAGAGACAGGGCAACAGGTCAAGGCCGGCCGGAGAATCATCTCCTAATTTACTATATTAATTTCAAATTATTTATATGATTAACTATCTCGTGATTTAGTGAAAGCGAACATATGTCAATGGTAATTAACATATATTTCTAATCCGTGAGTTCGATCATTCATCTCCACATGTTGTATTAAAAAAAAAAGTATGTTCTACTATATATAAAAAAAATCTCTTTCTTTGCAATTTTCTCTCGTATTTATTAAAGAATTAATAGTGATTCATACATGGGTGCTGGTTGCGGATTAGTAAGCATTTGAGTATATATATAATTTTGTTTGGTGTCATTACGTGTGCTTTAATGGGTTTTTTTGCTTGGGCCATTTATATATATACAATTTCTGGTTGTTTTCTTCCTCTTGGTTTTTTGCTATTTTTTCGCGTTGACTGTATGAATGATTATAAAATTCTTTTATATGATTTAACATTATGTTTTGTTGCATACCTTAATTCCAAACTCTCTCTCTCACTTTTCTTCTCTCTTTTTTGAAACACATCCTTCATAAATTACAATAAGTGTATTCTAAATCTTCACCCTAAAAAAAACTCTCTGTAATTCATTGGATGCATGGTATAACATTATGTATATATTTCTATTTCTCTTATTCTCGGTTATAAACATAGGACCATGGTTTAAAATGTCGAGCGACATGTTGACGTGTCAAGATGCTCGACATCGACACGAGGAAAAGTCGTTTTTTCCTCTCTCTCTCACCTTCTTCTCTTCTTCTTCCTACTAAAATTGTATAATTTCTTACCATCTCGATGATTGTAATCTTAGTCTTTTTAATGCAACATTCACCTTCATTAGTTTCTATTGTAATAGGACACCATATCATACTAATTACATTTTAGCTAGAAAAGGAAAATTATAATAGGTCGTAGTTCGTGAAATTTGCGAGTTTTTTTATTGTCCTAGATCTTGCAACAGAGTTGCTCATGAATTAGCAAGGTTGGCTGTGGATGATGAGGTTTCTAGAGTGTGGTTGGAGGATTATCCCTCTCCTCTTCTTCCTATTTGGGATGACGACCATGACGACTGTCGCACGCTTAGGGTCTCTTGTTTTTGTTCCGATGGTTTTTAGTTTCTTTCATGGTTTTTGTTGTTAAAAAAAAGATAAAAAATAGGTCGTAATACTAGTATTAGTACATTACATAGAAAACTAATTAGTAAGTATGATAAATTTTAAAATCTTTCACGCGTAATTTTTATGAAATTCTCTTTTTACTCCCATTGATATCCATTTTTACTAATTAATATATTAGTGATATACCATTTTTACATATCTATTAGTGATAGACGTGTACGATTGAGATATGTTGATATCCACGTTGTTTGGGTTGCACGTCATGCATATTGACAAATCTGTGTATCTTATGTTAAACTTATTAATATTCTGGTCAAATTGTTACATATGCATTTACCTATTTTAAAAAAAAATTATTAAAACCTTTGCTGTTCATTAGCTTGTCAAACTATCTATGCATGCCACTTTAATCCACAGTATTTTAATGGACATTCATGTCATGTCAACATTTCATGGTGGAACTATATAGAAGCATACCATTTCATTAATTTTCATAAAAAAATTGACGCAATGAAATTCCGTCTCTACAAAAGTTTTTGCCAATAAAGTTCATTGAGTTAGGAAAAGTGACTTTTGTCACTAAAAATTAAAATTTGTCGGCAAAAGTGACTTATGCAGACGAAATTTGGTAACGAAATTCAAATTTAAGTAATAACGATAAATTATTTTGATTTCATTGTTAGTAATAGAGGTGAAACTTAAATTTCGTCGTCATAAATAATATTTTTTGAGATTCATCGTCATGAATAAAAATTCTTGTAGCAGTAAGACATGGTTTTTTTTTTCCATAGAATTTTTCTTGCCCAATTCAATGAGGCCATGTGCTCTCTGTTTGTAACAAGGATGCACAAAATTAGCACATTGCTATTGCTATTATTCTCCAAGTGGGTTTTTCACTCCCTTCTTGGTTTTACATTATTGCCAATTGGAAAGTGGTTTTTGAAACAGATGCCAAGAATCACATGTGTGTCTGTAGTTAACCTAACATTATACTTTGTGAATAGCGTCACGAAGCACTTTCACTCCCAATGTATCTACCAAAATCAGAGTGGTTTTCTCCTATTTGAAATTGACTGAATACGTAATTTCTTTATTTGTTTGGTGTTGGTTTCAACTTTAATTTTATGTGTTGAGGTTTTTCTGGTAAAAAAGGGGTAAGAATTTGAACTATATATGACATTCTTCCTCTCAAAGACTTAGATGAATTGAACTGTGTTCAAATCAATTCCATTTGAAAAGGAATTTAGATCGATGCATAGAAGCCACCAAAATTAGAGTGGTTTTCTACCATTAGAAGTTGACTAAATACATAATTTCTTTATTTGTTTGGCGTTGGTTTCAACTCTAATTTGATATGTTGAGATCTTTTTTCGTAAAATGGGTAAGAATTTGAACTATATATGACATTCTTCCTCTCGAAAGCTTAGATGAATTGAACTACATTCAAATCAGTTTATTAAAAAAGAATTTAGATTGATACATTGAAAGATAAATCTGTAAATTGGGTTGAGAAAAAGATATGTCAACGAACTTATACTTTTAGCCTATCATTATGGTAGAGAAGAAGATGGCATTCCTAATCTTGATGTAGGGTTTAATTAGTTTCTCAAACGATAATTAGAACAAAAATAATGAGAGTAGGAATGAAAATTGATTCACCAAACTGAAAATAACCTTAAATTGTCTTTGTCTAATTATTTTTCTTTAATAAAAAAGCTAACAATTAGTCTAAAGTTTAGTGATAAAGAAATATAGCTCTTTCGGAAGTTAAATTCAAATTTTCAATCTCCACATTTGTGATACTTAAAAAAAACTTGAACCACAAATTAAACCTAATAAAAACATTGTTGTTGGTTTTGGTTTGGTCGGTTCAAAGCAATCAATTTCTAGACTTTATTTTTCCATTACTAAATGGGAAGTAGAGAAAAAAAAAAGATTTTTTTCTCTTAAGGAATTTGATGCTAATAAGTTCTGAATTAAATTTTCTTCCATGAAAAATATGGATAGGTAAGAAGCAAATTTGATGCTCATGTTTAGTTTAAATCAATCTTTATCGACGATTAGAAAAAAGGGTAGATCTAATATCCCCTTTTCTTTCATAATGCAAATTAAATATATGGTTTAATTTCGTACGAGAGTTTCAAAACTTAGTGTCTTTCTTTTATTTTAACCTTTTTGTTAATTTAATTTTTAGCATATTACCATTCGAGAGATGAGGATTCACGGACAAAAAAATAATCTTGTTACGTGGAGAACAGAGGAAGGTTGGAAGGTTAAGGTCTTACCTAAGAACCACCTCATACGGGATCGACCTTATTTCGTACTTAACCACAAACACCGGAATAATTCACTCTTGCGGTAGAGTCATGACTCCAGTTAAAACCGATTTTTTGGACGACACTAACTACTTATCAAATGGCCTATTGGATCTCGAACCTATAAATAGAGGGTTTGACTTCTGCTGCATTAGGTATTGCATTCTAACTCGACTCCATATTAAAGTTGAGTTAAAACTAACTTGAGCATGTAGTGTTTGACTCTCTTGTACAGGTCTTTCCTTACTAAGATACTCAAATTCTTTCCTCTATCATTTCTTGATTAAGTTTGACCATAATCAATTTCGTCGCGTAAAACATGAATTTTCTTAAATAAAAAAAAACTAAATATAAAATTTAATAATAGGGTGAATTGAAATTGAAACTTTAGACAGCTCACTAGTGATTTATTACCACTTATCTCATTCTCTCGTAAACTTAGTTCATTTCTTGAAAAGTCGGCTTTGATCATTAACGAAATAGCTCTAATTTCTTCGTGATGACGTTTTTTTTTTTTTTGGTATTTCATTTAGATCACATTAGACTAATTTAGGATTGGAAGCAATATTTAAACCACATATATGAGTGATATTATGATGATTAATTATTTCTCAAAAATGAAAGAAGGGAAATCCTCCTTCATTCCCACACGGAACTTCTTCTGTACTAAAGTACTGCAGCGACCACCAAACATTATTCCTTCCCCTTTTTTCTTTTCAACTATGATTAAATATATTTTTTGAAATTTAATCTCTGTGGTTTAAAAAATCTTAATTGAATCTTTTATGTTATAATATTTTTTAATTACATTATTTCATTGGTAAATATTAAAATTGATCCACGGATGACATGATTCTTTTAGTCCAAGAAATTAAAAGAGAGAAAGTAGGCCATTCAAATAAAGAAAAGTCAATTTAGCTAGAAATTTAAAGGAGAAATTAGATTTTTTTTTCTTTCACAACTTAGTTTTTGTCAATTCATTAACTATTAACTATCATGTCTTTTAAGTTTATGATAAATCAACTTAAACATTAATTGACAGGAGAGATATTAAAATATAACTTTAAATAATAGAGATTAAATTGATTATTAAACACTACCACGTTGAAAAGTAAAACATATATTTAGCTTATTTATATAAATCAAGTTTTTTATTGGATTGTATACTTAAATCCTTCGTAGAAAATACTTAGGTTCTTTAAATTCACGAGCACGTCCTCTTGAACACCTACGTGGTTCAATAAACCTCCATATCTCATATTTCCTATTTTTCCTCTTTTTTTCTCTCCCTACAACGTCACGCTTCTTCTTTTTTTCTCTCTTCTCATTGCTTCATATTTTTTAAGTTTTTTATTTCCATTTTACAAAATCACAAGTATCTCTCTTATTATTTTGTTTTTTTAATTTTTAATTTAATGTATAGTTTTGTATTTAAAAAATACAAGAAAAAAAGATAAATGAAATG